TCATTGGTTGCCTCACTTTTCTGATGGCAAGAATCGGGAGTAATAGCCTATCATTCCTCATGTCTTCCTAAGCCTCACTGTAGAGCCGATTGTAGACGTGGAAGAGCCGCCCGACAGGTCAGTACCAGCCTCAGTACCAGCCTACTAGGAGAAAGAGGGGAAATTTAATTCGATTATTCGTCATACTCGGATGGGCGGGACCGCAGCATACCACCGTAGTCAGGTCGCCGAGGCGGCCATGTATTGGCCATTGCATTATATTTCACCCGGAGCAGTGCCTACACTGCCCTACAGTTGTAAGGGATTGGCCTCTCATCCTGCAGCAGGTGTGGGTGGCAAGGGACAAGGGCGGAGTCATCTGAGGCAGATTTTGAATTGATACATCTGAGAAATGCCTGGAGGCCCTGAACCTCGTTACAAAAATAAGAATAAATATTTTTGGAAAGCACTTCGCGTATCTCGAAAGCCAGGGTGGGAGGATGACAATACCACTGTCGGTCCTATGTCGATGATAGGAGATCGAAACGGTTGTGGCGGCTGGCTAGCAGGTTCTGCCGACGTCGTCTTTATTTATTCCTCCTTATGTTATTTAGCGGTCGACACGACCAAGTAGGCAATACTTGCTGACTCGTCCGGTTAAAGTAACGGCTCCGTTCCGGAGTAAAAGTTTTTGCCGCCCCACAATTACAAATGTTCATATATTCAAATAAGCTTGACCTATCACAACAGAAAGCCCGGCTAGCTCAATCGGTAGAGCGTGAGACTCTTACTTGTAATCTCAAGGCTGCGGGTTCGACCCCCGCGTTGGGCTCAATCCCCGACGCTCTCCAGTAAACTGGAGGCCTCTTTTTGCATTTTTTTGGTGTCGCATTTGTGTGGATTTTTAATTTTTGTTTTGGGCTAGAAATGAATGGGAAATAGAGGAAAAAGTGGTGGAGAAGGTGAGGGGAAACGGTGGGGCTTTACGCTCGGTAGGTACACTAGCGCGGGTTGGCAGTGTCATTCCATATAACACCTAGGAAAAGGGTGTAAGAAACATCATGGGGCTCTTTTAGGTAACACGTGACTACCCTGGTAGTTGAACCTCCCCGCCGCTTCTACGGGTTGTTGTCCGTACTCAAGTTTGATCACCTTTGACTGCCTTAGGCAACCACATATCCTATCTTCATTTCTTGGATCAAAGCACTCCTCCTACTGCCATCTCTATCACGCTACACACTATCCAAATCTTCATGATGTCGTCTTCCTCTGCCCACCCCAGCTCCTCCTCCGCCTCTTCACAATGCGACACCCTTCAGCTCGAAAACATCATTGAAGATCACCCCAAAGGCACTCTTCCCTACCCCGCGGACGCTCTATCACACCCCGCAGACACTCCCTCCCCGCTGCTGAACGAAGACACTCGGTCTAAAATGCCACCCCATAACCGCTTTGCAGGACGCGACGTTCATATTTTCGATGGAAGGGATCAAGTTGGCGGCCTAAATCTCACAGCCGGTATTACAAATGTCAACCTGTATGTTATGATAGAGATTTTCATTATCTTTAACGGCGAAAATTCTCTTCGAAACGAAAGTAATATCACGATAGAGAAGAATAACTCCACTTTTGCCTGGAAAGTACTTTATTGTTTCCCCTCGTAAGTCTTTATTTAATAGCTTGTTTCTCTAGTTAACTCAGTAGATCCTCTTCAGATCAATACCGAGATGCCTTTGCTTCGCATGATTTCTCTGCAAACTGGAACTCGTGTCCAAGCCTTTACAGATGCCGTCCGTTCACGAGATAGGCGATGTGTTATATCAGGAAAAATAGCATTAAATGCCCATCTCAATCGCTGGACAGGTTTCGAAGCCGCACATATCTTTCCGCTGGCCTTTGAGGGACTCTGGAAGGATCATAATTTCGGCTGTTGGATTAAAAGCCCTCTAAATGGAGAAAAAATCAAGGGAGGAAAAATCAATTCTGCTCAGAATGGGCTATTGCTTCGTTCTGATATACGTCAGCTCTTTGATATGTATTTTATCTCGATAAACCCAGATGTATGTATATATACCTTGTGTTCTTTATAATGTAGCTACTAACAATTGTGGTAGGACAATTACAAGATTGTATGCTTTGGTCTTGATGAGGATGGTATTGCTGGAAAATACTTCGATCAAAGACCTCTTCCCAAAGACCAGCCGATCAGCTCCTCCGTTGGCACTTCCGGCAGGCGGTTTCGACAAATATGAAAGGTGCTGAGGAATCAGTATTCGAGTATGATTTCCCACCTGGCTCTGACATATTTGGTAATATACTTGAGGGTCCAAAGGCTGCTAAGAGAATGGAGTTTGAGCTGTTTAGTCGTTTAGCTACTCAATTTCATTTGACTGAGTAGAAGCAATATAATAGAGGTGTATTTAATCCGAGGAAGCCGTTCTGACTTCTTGTATCGTGAGAATTGGGACAACCGATTTAGAGGATAGACTCTTTCAATTCTCTTCTCTTCTACAACCTAATAACACACTGACATTTACTTTATCACCAGCACACCCCACGTCTTGTGAGGACAGCATCTGATCGCACTCAGCATAAATCGGCGCAACTGGTTCGTAAATAATCAGCATTACTAACGATGACCTCAACAGCTCCAACTTAGAGTTCGACGCGCCTGCTTATCAGAACGAGCTCCTTTGGGAGCTAAAATGGCCTCTCAGTGCATGCTCAGACTGATTTTGCCGTGCTTGCTCACCCTCGGCTCAGGTTAAAGCGGCAGCTGCTCGCGTCCAAACACTAAAACGGAACTGGCGAAAAAAAGTTGAGTCTGGCTTAAGTGGCTACCCAAGGGTAGTCAACCTAACAATCCGATCCTCCCAGCTACCTGACCTACCCTACCCTACCTAGGGTAATCCCCTGGTACCCGGGGCATTCGGGTATTTCGTGAACTCACTGATTACTTCAGGTATGTGTTGTATGGTAACCGTCAATACGATTTTTTGATCAATTGGACGTCTAATTCATCAACACCACGTAATATACGAATTGGATTGTAATACTCGCACTTTAAATATGGATTAGACACTTGGAAAAATGTGGTCATTCAGGTGGATTTAGAAGCCTTTGGCTTCCTTCCAGTACCTTGCCGTGCTCCGCCCCTATTATTTAATAGCTATATTGCCTTAGATAGGCCAATCTTAGGCTCCATTTGTAATTGCGTCAATGTAAGCTTAGGTAGAGGTGACACCTATAATCGATGATGTTAAACATTATTATAGTAATGGCTTCGAGCCACGTAGAGGTGTATGTGAGGAGTAAACGTGTATATACAAAAGAATAAATTTGTCCTTCTAAAAGAGCCTTTCGAACAGAAAACAGAGTAGACTGTTTATTTATTGGATCTACTAGTAGATAAATCCGAGCGGCGGCTAACTAGTTAACATAGCTAAACGCAAAAGCAGGTGGTCCGAGTCCGAGTAGTTAAGTTTTGTACGAGAGATAAAATACTACCAATAAACTCGAGAATTCCGAATACTCGATTCCTTATACATAATCATGTATAAGAATACGTACATCTCGTCTTATTGTGACAGCTCAGTAAAAGGGAGTCCAAAGGTAGGACACTTTACTGAAAAGGATCCATACAAACCACAAAGGGGGTCGCACAAAGAGGACACTTGTAGCAAGGCAGAACCTATGCTGCATTTACGAGAATACTAAACTAGGGAGAAGGAAAGCAAGTCTATAACACAGAATGTGGGCGAGGTTTAAATACCCATCGCAGCCGTCCTAGCCCTAGCCCTACTAGTCCCTATCTGGAATAGCGTACCTCTATTCCGTCGATGCCATTGTGAATGTCCGAAGTGAGGCCGCTAGAATAGGTGGTAGTCGGAACCGGAACCGTCACACTCATCATGCCCCTCCTGTTTCGTTTACGAAGATTGAGGCCATTAAGTGGAGGAGTACGATAGCGATCCATATTGGCGTTCATTCAGCATTACAAGTGGCATTATTGATGCGATGTGTGTACCATAAAAAAGCAGCAATTCTAGCTTCCGGCTGCCAATTTCCTAGCGTCCAGGATACTTCAATTGGCGCAGGATGAAAATTGGTTTGTCCAACAAAGAATGGAAATTTAGAGAGGATGTAGCTATTCGTATCATCACGGGTAGAAACACTTTTGGACTGGGTCTGTAAATTGAAGTTTAAAGCTTCATGGTTCAGCTTTCAATTCCAAGAGAAATCGGTTGGGGCCTGACCCCAGATCAAAGCTTACAAGGGCTTAACAAGTATCGATCAAAGTGATTCATAACTTCCATATATTCATTCGACGGCCCTCTATATTTCAAGGGAACTCGTTTTATAGCAACGAATAGTACCATTTTATCATTGCTTGTAGGCGTGAACTAGTATAGACTAGTCTATAGGCATATACTAGGATTGTAAAACAGGATAGTTTTGTCACGTTAAAAACGTGACGCCACATAACACATAACGCTATTTGGGTATATATATTCTGTGACAAGTTTGCTCAAATTTCAACATCTGGGTAATCTTTTCTAAGCCCCAGACAGATGTCGGAGAGGAGGCTTGAAATGCGCGCTAAGATTTGAGATTGCGCAGAGAAGTTCGAATTCGTGGACCTCGAATTGAGTAGAGGTTCGAAGCAAAGTAAAAGAGATGGACTTTACATACACAATGGCAGAACCTCCCCTTTCGATCATAAAACCTTGCTAATTAACTTCTAATCCATGAAACTAATGCTACCATTACCCAGACGAGCCGAATTTATACATTTTGATTTAGTAACTTCGTCAAAATACTTAATTGTCAACTCGAAGGTTGTAGTTGAGTAAATTTAGTATAAGTGTATTACACAAGGCAGTCATCAAATATGAACATTTCTATATCACGTGACAGAATGCGCCAAGCCTCGCTTGAATTTTACGCACGACCATTTTCCTTCAACTGTTTGTAATATATAGCCTTTTAGTGTTTTTTATTTTACAACTGCCGTGCAAACGGCCCGGCTAGCTCAATCGGTAGAGCGTGAGACTCTTACGATTCTCAGGAGTCAAGGCATCTCAAGGTTGCGGGTTCGACCCCCGCGTTGGGCTCAATCCCCGACGCTCTCCAGTTAACTGGAGTCGCCAAACTTTTTTTTCCCGTTTTTTTGAATCGTTTTTGTGTGTTTGTCTCGTTGGGTTTGGTGGATGGATGGCGAGGCGAAACAAAGGCCTGGGCAAATTAAGCGCTTGGTATGCGACGGACGCTAAAAGGGAACTTCCACTTGTCGAGTTGAACACAAAAATTAAAGTATGTCTACGTGGATGACTTGTGAGTCCTGAAGCTAACACAAAATTCGTCGTCTATGATTCTCTAATTCAAAGGCCTCTACTGCGTTCTATCTATTTCATCCATATTCTTCTACTTCTCTAACCTCAACACATCTAGATACTTCAACCCTCAACCTGCTTCAATGTGTATTCGATATTAGAATGATCAATTTCCGCCTCACACCTGCACAAACCTGGACGTCCCCGCCGCCTTCGCAGCCAACTGCCCAATTCTTTGACCACTCGTCATCTCAAAGACAGAGACGTCAGAACCAATCTCCTTGGCCATCCACGTTCGCAGCTCCACAGCCACAAGCGAGTCAACACCATAGGCGTGCATAGGTCTCGACGGGTCGAGTTCCGCCATATCAACGCTGAGAACCTTGGTCAATTTCTCCAGCAAAGCGTCAAGCACCACCTTCTCCGCCTCTTGTGTTGACTTCGCGGCCGAAAGGTGTGCGGCAGTCGACCCCTTGCCAGAGCCCTGCTTAGCAGACGTGTCGCCACTGTTAAAGCCATGCAGGACCATGTGGTTGAAGCGTGGTTCATGCTGCCAGGTCGGCTGTACCGCTCCCTCGGCGGCAGAGTACTGGGGAAGCCAGAGTCTCGGGACGACTTGCGCCTGGTCAGCGGTCATGTCTTTGTTCTCGCTTAGAGGACGACAGTAGAAATCCAGCCCAGCGATGAGCTCTTCGGCGGACATATGGGACCAGCCGATGGAGAATAGATACTGCATCAACTGGGGTTTGGTAGCCACCATACCAGCGTCGCTCATCATGGGGACGTTGAGTGCGACGGCGTTGTGGCCTTGAGATGAGAGGTGCCTGGCTAGTGCATCTTGGTATGAGTTGCCGGCTGCGTAGTTGGTCTGGCCTGGGTTACCGATGATGGAAGCCATTGATGAGAACATGACGAAGAAATCCAGAGTCGAGTCTGCGTTCTTGGAACTGAGAGTTTCCCACAGGTTCCAAGTCCCAGAGACCTTGACACTGAGTGTGCTCTCCCACTGGTCGAGCGTCATGTTGCTAAAGGTATTGTCCTAAAGGTTATCTGTTAGTAAGATTCTCACGTCTACCTACATTTCCCAGTAGCTGAAGGAAGACTTACACTGAGGATCGTGGATGCCTGGATGCATCCTCGAACAGGTGGCATATGGGAAAGACAAGAAGAGATGACACCGTCCAAGGCCTTCCCGTCTGTAATATCACAAGCAGGGGTGGCGATATTCACGCCCTTGTTTTGCAATTCTGCAACGAGTGTCTCGGCTGCTTCTCCCGCTGCTCCTCGTCTTGAGGTCACAATCAGATTCCTCGCACCCTGGTGGACCATCCAGCGAATAATCTCTATTCCAAGACCTCCGAAGCCACCGGAAACCACATACGATGCGTCTGAACTGAATTTGGCGGCAGTCTTAGGCGGCTGGACTACTGGGACGACATCGTTGTCGTGGGATTCAACGACCAGCTTTCCAATATGCTTGCCGGACTGCATGTAGCGCAGAGCATCTTGAACCTGCGAGATAGAGTATGTCCTAATAGGTGTCGATCGTTTGAGTCCCTGACCAAGGACGCTGCCCATGGCCCGCTTGAAAAGATCCTCGATTCGTCCCATGTCTGTCTTTTGCATGTAGTTCAACTCAATGGCTTCAAATCTCGCACTTCTCGCAAAGATACCCATCGATATCCGAGCCCTGGATTCGATATCGGTTAAACCAATCTCAGCAAAGCGTCCAAACGGCGCAACGCATTCCCAGGTGGCCCGTAGTATATCGCCAGCAAGACTGTTGATGACTATGTCAACTCCACGCCCGTTTGTCATTCGCATGACACCAGCTTTGAAGGTGGTGTCTCGACTTGAGAGGATGTGATCTCGCGGTAGTCCATATGTTTTCTCGAGGAAGTCACGCTTCTCCAGACTGCCAACTGTGGCAAAGATCTCGGCACCTTCACGCTGAGCTAGTTGAATAGCCGCTTGTCCAACACCACCAGCAGCTGCGTGAATCAACACTGTCGATTTTATGCCCCTGCTTGAACGTTTCCCTAGATCTCCAATGTCGTAAAGACAGGCGTATGCCGTTGTGTAGACAATGGGTATGCATGCTGCCTCGGCAAACGTCAGTTTCTCCGGTATATGAGCAATGGTACCCTCCAAAGCTCTGACGTGGGTAGAGAAGGCCCCTTTAAATGCGAAGCCGAACACGCGTTCTCCCGGCTTGAAGCCCGTCACTCCTGAGCCCACCCTTGTGACGATACCAGCAGCCTCAAGACCAACGGGTGTCTCTTTGATCTTACCCAGCATTACAGCTAAATCTTTGAAGTTGACAGCAGTGGCCATTGTCTTAAACTCGACATCGGTGTCTGCAAGTGGGAGTGGTTGTAATGGGTCGTCATCGAAACACAACGAGTCCAAAAGGCCAATATCTTGGATCTGGAGACGCAGAGAGCGACTTGGGTCCGCTCCAAACGCAGCATCGGCCACTTCAGCAGCTAAGGTTTGCTTCTTGATGTGCTTTGTCACTGAGCTGGCCTCGACAAGTCGAGGAATGCAGACCAAGCCGTCAATGACCTTGTACGATGTTTCAGTGGGCCCCTCCTTCCTTGCTACAGCAGTATCAACCTCCAAGATCTTGCTGATGATAACTTCAACGGTCTCTTCCGGCTGGAAAGTAAGGATGGTAAAGTCCAGCTCGGGTTTCTCGAGGCGAATACACGTTGCAAAGCCGGTAACAAGATCGGTGTCCGGACATCCATCCTTGTTGACCCAGAGCAGACTTTTGCCGTTAGCCATGCCTTTCAGTCCTGCCAGGACGTCCTCGGTGACAGAGGTGAGCAAACCACCTGCAAGCTCGGGCAAGAGGATACATGTGCTGTTGGACACACTCTCTTGGCTCCATGTTGCTGTAAGCTGCGTATATTGTGAAATGGTACCATATGTAGCTACTTCGCCCCTGGCTGCCAGGCTAGAGCACAACTTGTTTCCCACTCGTTGTTGTAAGTCCGAAGCGGCGTCGATGACGATATAATAACTACTGCCTGTTGGAGTCGAAGATGTTTCTTTGTCTCCTGGGGGTGCACTCGATACCACCACTGACCGACCTTCATCGAGGAAAAGAGTCTCAAGCCCGGCGAAGCCAGAATTGAGCAAGTGCGTACCCCAGGTTGCTGTTGCATCAATGCCCTCTGTTACTGTCAAGATCAGCTTGCCTTGTGGTTTGAGAAGACTGAGAGCATTGCTAAGCATCCCGTCGATATTCGCTGCAATATTCAGGCTGGCGGTTGCAAGGAGAGTGTCATATGTTCCAGCTTCGAATCCCTGTGTGGCTGGAAGCTTCTCCATGTCAAGGACTTGAAAGCGTACGCGGTCGTCAGGAAGTCTTTGCCGTGCTTCATTGAAGGATGTGGAGGAGGTATGGGTGAAATCGTACTGCACATAACGCTCACCCAACGTAGACAACATGCTAGATGCACTACTGGTGCTAGCATCGACCTCGAGGATCTTCATTGCGGGGTTTTTGTGCGCCAGGGCATCCAAGTATTTCGGCAAACCACAGCCTGTCTTGCCAAAAGCCATCTCCCCCTCTTCTAGGTTCAAAAGCTCTGGATCTGGCTTCCAGTCGATGTTCCATGCCTTATGTTTGGGGTCGTTCTCTGGTGTGGATGAGTCTTCATAACTGTCAACCTCCGTCACAATCAACCCTTTCACTAGGACCATAGGTTGCTTAGTGCTTGAGTCAACGGCAGTGCACGCCATTTCATACTCTTTCCGTCCATGAGGCTCGGTGTCAGCGCAGACTAGGTACCCGTCGTCTGAGTGCTGAGAACCGGAAACCCAGAGCTCGTCAAGGAATGTAAGGACGATGGCATTCGTCTGTTTCCGCACAGGATTGGAAATAAGAGGCGCCAGGCAGACTTGTAGCGCTCCATCCAGCGTTGTGGGGTGTATCAAATGCGACTGGACGTACTCGTGAGGCATCAGCTTCTTCAGAATATCCATGGTTGAGTTGACTTTAGCGAAAGCTTTGCCCGACTTGTGGTCAACGAATGGATCGGACACAGTCTGGAAGGTCGGTCCAAACACAAGACCAACGTCGCTCCATGCCTCATAAATCTTCTTGGCTACGACTTCGGTTGTACATGTCTTCTGGGCCTCCTCGATGCTGTTGTTGGACATCGTTTGGAGTAGTTCCTCTTCCAAACCACCGTCCACAAGTGTATTCGCCTCATTGTACTCAACCAGTACTTGCCCTCGGCAATGCTCTCGCCACTCATCGTCATCCTGTGCCGTGCAGATCTGGAATTCTCGCCACGGCGAGGCTTTGCTCTCCAGGGCTGCCTGTTTGACGGGACGTAGGTACAAATGTGATTCAATGCCCATGTTACCGTCGGGGATCTGTAAAGCTGCATGGAAAGACACCTCCCTGAACCGGAAGCCCTTGATTGACTTCCCGGAGTTCGAACTTTCAGCAAGTTGCCGGCAGCCCTCAATGGCCATGACGAGCATACCAGCAGCAGGATACAGAATGGCTCCGGAAATCGTGTGATGCTCGACCCAAGGATTTTCTGAAAGGCGAATCCAATTCCGCCAGATTGCATCATGTTTGCCATCCCAGTCGTTAACAGGTGCACCGAGGAGCTCGTGGCGAATATACGCCCGATTACGGAAGTTTCTGCTGAGTCGACTTTCGTACCAGTACTCCTTTGAGTGATTAAAGGGGTAGCGAGGAAGGTTTATCAGCATCGATGGCTCGACGCCGTCAACATGGTTGACCTGAACAAGGTCGA